CTTACTAAGTTAATAAATAGCTCCAAACTACGAAAACAAAAAAACGAGAAAAAAAAGCGAAGGTGTTTAGAGCAGGGGTGTTCATGAAGGCACCCCAGTTCGGAGGTTTACCTGTGCCTCCTTGATACAGGAGAGACGTTTCTTTGGTTTCATTCGCTCCTGACGTAGCGTTTGCTCCGGGTTTGGCCGTGGTCTCCACGGGAACGTTCGTGGTCATGGTCGCTGTCGGGACAGCAGCCGTCGTGGTAGTACTCGACGATGGCCGCAAGGTAGTTGACAGGGCGACGGTCGTTGATGGAACAGTGGACGGCTTCGGAACTTCCGCGACGACAGGCACATCAAGAGACGTATTCGAAGAAACCGTCTTGGCATGAGCGGGAAGCACCGTGACCTTGAGTTCCTCGGCTCTGACAACGGCTGGATGTGGAAGTAGTCAGACGGAATGTTTGGGCAAAGAACGAAGGTAGCAAGAATCCATATACGAACAGCTCGAACATTAAAGGGAAATTAAACCGACTCAAAATGATTGGTTTGTTAGTTGGTTGCATATATTGAGATAAACACAGCGCAAAATAACAAGAACTGCCTGAAAGAGGATCTGCTAGTGTCATGTCTTCCCCCGTCTACTAGTCCCTGTTAATTGTTTCGGTGTTTATTTGATTTAAATCGACATTTCTTTACACCTATTTATTACCAATATTTAGTTTAAAGACTAAATATTCAAGTAAAACGTGGTTTGTCAACAAAACGTTAGGGCGCAAACGAGCTGGTGGTGGATAAACATTTGACTAAAAACTGGGACGAAAAGGAACGGACAAATACAAAGTCTCAATTCTTGTCCCAGTCTTGGAGTATTTAGTCAACTGGTCCGTCAGTTTGTAAAGATGTTTAGTTACTTACTTTGTATGTTTGAGGACAATAAGTCGAGAATCAAAATTAATAGCGAAACCAATTTTGAAGTGTTGGTTGGTAGCGTTGTCACACGTTTTACATAAAAAAAGAAACGAATGATTCTCGATGACACAGATAAAGGTTTATAATCTGTTTTATTGACGTTCATTTTTATGACTCTTAAGTTGAAGAATACAGCCCGTACTCTCTCGTCGCATGAACACATAACGTGAAAAATCCTTCGTACGGCCTGTCTGGCGCTGGCATCCGGCAATTTCTACTAACAAGTGTTTTTAGGGGAGCTCACATGTCCATATGTATTCGTTGTAAGTTAGCGGAGCGGCGAAAGCAATCAAGTGCGTGCGCCTTTGCCTGGGCTACTACTGGACTGTACTATATTGCACGGCTAAAGCTGCGGTCTCGAATTTTGAACCGATTCTCTGTCCTGCAAGTTCAGCAAACCAGTGCAATGGAGAAAAGTGTTTGAAACTTTTCCTAGGCCGTTCTTTATGTGCGTGGATTATGCCTTCATGGGCCAATGCCCCCGTTGTTATTATCCTTGTTACTGTTGTTGTTATCCAGTTGTTGGCGTAAGAACAACGACAACTGCAGAATCTTTTTTTGTACTCTTCGGAGCTAAAAGACGAACCTCTAACAGCGAAAGGGTGATGGCCACGCATGACAGCCCAGTTAACACAAACCTTTATATATCGCCACATTTTCAATTAGCAAAGAGTTCGAGCGCATTGCTTTGATCGGTGCTGGGTCGTCCGTAGCTGCGAATGCATAAGTAAGGTGTCCGCGAACTTTGAAATCGGAAATAATGAAGTACAGAAAGGACACTACGTACCCTAATGTTCTAGCTAGAAATGTTGCTTCTATACTCTATTTCACCTTATGATGTACCGTAGGAAAGGCTACAAGCGTGAGCTCCTTGCTCTAGGGCACGTCTCGGCGGCACAAGCTCTCGTGCACCAAGGGCTGCTGCCAACGCTATGAGCTCGCGCTTCTAGCCTTCGCTGCGGTACAACATACGGTGAAACGGAGTATAGTTGATCCCCCTAATAGGTTATCTTACAAAGCTTTACGTTTCCACGCCCTGGGCTGTCGCGCCGCTGCCCAGTCCGTTCGAACTCTCCAACAGCCAAGACACGTGACTTTTAGAAAAAAGGGTCCGCGGTCCATCACTCACCGACGATACCGAGCCAGGCGATAAGGGAGGTGCAAGAGCCGATCCTCATCCTGCCTCCGCGTCCAGATGCCCGGCGCGCAATGTATCCCCGCTCCGCAGGGAGTCGCACGGAGTGTGCCCAAGACCCACGTCCCGTTATGCATTCCGGAAGAAGAGACTCCCGTGGGAAACCAGTTTGTGGCCACCCGTCACACCACGTTAACCTGGACCACGACGAAGGCTAGAAGCCCACCCAGCCAATCCATACTCTGCGATCCGGCGAACGCGTTACCCGATGCACAAGATCACGTGACACACCCTCTTCCAGTTACGGCGACGGTTCGTGGCGTGCACAGTGGTCCATGCTAGGCGGTAAACGAAGTGTGCGCCCAGCGCAGTAGTCAGGAGGCCAACGGCCGCCCTTGCTCTTGTGGCTTCGGATGGATACGTTCGAGTTTGCTGAGGCGAGGCCGGGGTGTCTGACTCGCCTTGACCGCTGTGGTTTTTACCGGAGGTGCGAGGCGACCACGGACATTAATCTCTGCCTCCCGGCTTATGGATGGGTTGCGAAGACGTTAATGGTGCACTTGGCCCGCCGAAGGCGCGCATACCGATTTCTGAGGTATTCACCTGGTAGGTCTTCAAGCACTCGGAGGATTCTGTTGAGGAATAATACTTCTAGAGAGTCGGTTTACTGTCGGAAAGCTTCTGCGTTCTAGATGGTGTGTGGTGCAATTTTACCTTTTTAGCTACATGTGGAAGTCGGAGACGACGGTTGCTTTTGCTTGTGTACAATAGCTCTGTAAAGATTCTCACTTTTTTTTTACGTGGAGCTATAGATTTTATTTAACCTATTCTTGTGTTTTTTATTGGTAATGAGAAAAGACACCACAGCTCTAAAAGCACTAGAGCATTGTATTCGGAGAGGGAATCGAATTTTATTAAATATAGCTCTTTGCAAGCTATTTCCTAAGCTACCAAAAATGTAGCCCGGACGCGTTTTAAAACGGCGTTTCCTCACTGAAATTTAAATTAACACGAATTTAAGAGAACTGGTCACTGGCTACGGGGACCGTGCCAGAAGCTCACACATTTATACACAGCTCATACATTAATACAAATGCCATTAAAACTCCCGCTGGTTTGGCTGTAAACGACTATCGTACAGACGTGCAGTCATGTGGTTAGTGCTGCGTGACGCGTGTCAAGAACCCCAGCCGTATATGTCCCGACAGTAGGAATCATACAGACTGACTTCCCGCTCTATAAACATTCCAACAAAGCGATATCACACGAGCATAAAGACCTGCGTAACATCATCACCGAGGCATGTAATGAGAGGGACATCTTGACAGCGATGGCCTCACCGGAGCGTCTGGCTCCGGTGAGACCACCGCTGGAAAGCGCACGGGAAGGGCTGCCAGACAGTCGGGGAATGACGGCAGCCCATCTGACTACCAAATTTCGGAAAAGAGGGCGGAAAATAAATGTACAAAAAAAAAAATCTGGTCCTACGCTGACAACACTTTTAGTGGAGGGGTCATTGTGTCTTTGGGTGCAAAAACAAATCCGGGAAGTCTTCACGATGCTGTAGAGACGCTCCGTATGCCTCCTGTGTGTCTGTTATGTGGTGCTTTAATATTGATTAAGACGTACAAACTAGCCAGTCTACTTGTTATATGTAAAAACTAGGGAGATGAGTCCCGGAAAAACTTAAGGAAGCTTAAAACTTTTTCTAAGACACTTATAGGTATACTTTTTTAAACAAAACGCAACCACTGTAAAGTTACCGTTTTTTTTTTTTTAATTTTATGTGAGCCTTTACATATCCTATTATGATATCACACGGTAATAGACTTAAATCTGCCGATATTGCTTACCTGAACCAACGTCGCATGAACTTGCTGCACCAGAATCGTCAAGAGAACACTTCTTTTGCCTATCCGGCAGCACACATAATACGAAGGAACCTGTCTCGAATGTTATCAGCTGCTGCCCTTCTGACCCCGCATAATCACAGGCACAGATCACTGCGATTAATAAGGACGCTGTGCTGACGTGTCGACCTTAGTAGCGCAGCAACCGGAAGGTCTCAGTACGCAGCACACTAGCCGACACGGTGTCTTCTTCATGGCTATTTGTGACTGTTTGCAAGTGTGACACAACAGTGTCAGTGCGGGTGGGCCTTTCATGATCGTTCGATAGCTCGCCGTGTTGCCTTGAGACATTGCTGGTTTTAGGCAATGGGAATTACTCTGGTGTGTAAAAATGAAAGAAGCATTAATCGCAAGATGAAACTGGAGGTTATATTGCTCATTTGTTGGTTTTGTTATACCAATGCAAAATATGTCAGTGCTTTTTTTTTTTTATCACACGATATATAGATCTTTTTTTCTCGAATAAACGCAGATATTTGTTTTTAAATAAACGTGAGCCATATGTGAATTAAAAAAAATAATCATGTTCTTGTCCTGACATTGCAAGCACCTAACATAACAAGCCGTCACTGAAACATCAAATAGTCAATACTATATGAATGGCACCAAAGAACAAAAACAGAGTTTTCGCAATATTCCCTTTATGTGCCCAGCAAGATACGGAATTTTTGCGTCTTGACAAATAAATAATCATAGATTTGAAATTGCAATTTTAAATGCACAAGATTAAATGTCCACGAGTAATCACACACGTACTGTTCTACACTACACATCGCGGCACACACAAAAAAAGAAAAAAAAAACGAACTTGGAAAGGTGCATTTTTCGTTGTTGGTGAGATCGCATGCTTCAAAGTTTGTTCGCTTGCAAAGTTCCTGGGTGCTACTCTAAACTGTAGAAGGGGTTGCCCTGTCCCAAGACTACCACATATCGTTGAACTCCACACTAACGACGAGTCATCTCCATTGCAACTTAACTGATCGCGCCAAAAGAACAAGAAATACACGTAATTGTCATGTTTTATAGTTCTTATGTAGACAACCATAAAAAAAACATTCAATGAAATATCAATTAATGCCTCACGCCGCTACAGCTTTATAGTTTCATCCACTTGGTCAGTAGCCCTCACTGAGTCGGGATTACAACGTTCCCTGCTGTTTGGACATTTGCACACTTGGGTCCGTAAGCAGTGCCGACTATAAACGAAGCAAAACTGTCATCACCGTTGATTAGCGAATCAAAGATACCATTTTAGGCGAAGTGATGGGCTTGAAATATCGTACTTCAGAGCAGTGTTGTCCTCGTTCCTTTTCCATCGCAAAGTTCGTCCAAAATTCGCAGTGCTTCGTTTGCCCTCCGTCGCTCGTTAGTCACTGCAGTGTTTTTTAAAGTCCGTCTTGTCAATGAAGATATTCTTTGGAAGGTTGTCAGGGTCCTACAGCGAAGCGGACACGGGTGATACTGTCTCGTCCAAGGTTCCAGTTTTGTTTGTCCGACGCGGAGAGGCGGTCGAGCAACTGGTACACGACCACTTTCTTCTCGAGCACCAGCGGCTTGATGTCGGTCGGTTGGGCGTCCGCAATGGCCCGCGTGGTTCCGTACATGAGCTGCGTCGACAGCTGGTTCTGCAGGCCCTTGCTGAGGATGTTGCGAACGAGCTTCTCCGTAAACTCGCGCGACTTCGCGTCGTTCGTGAGGAACCTGTTGGGGTGATAACGGACAGGAAGATTACTCCGTGCCGAACGAATAACCTTTCAGTCTCTGGCTATCTCCAAACAGTGCCAGAGCACCTTGTTACAACGGGGTATCAAATAGAAACATAAACGTAAAAGGGACAGAAACTGGGAAGAAGAGACTTCTCCAAACAGTACCAGAGCAAGTAGCCTTTCCTGCATAAACCAAAACTACAAAATAAAACAAGAGTGATAAAAAAAATATGGCGAAGACAAACACTGTTCGCAACTACGAACTTAGTTTGGAAGGTTGTTCCAGACGTTCGATCATTTCCAGTGCTCGCATATTCAGCCTCGCGTTCTACGCGTGTTGCCCATGACCTTGCTGAATAGTCATCATTGCACTTTTTACCAATAAGTCACCGCGAGATGCCTGGCTGACATCAGAGCCACAAAACAACACAAGGCGCCTGCTTAGTACGAAAGATACTGGTATTATTTATCAATTTATTTCTTACCGTTACCCCTCAGGGCCCAGAGGTCATTAAATACGGGAGTGGGTAACTATAGTCACCTCGAAATAGACAAAATATTAGTAAAACACAGTTGAAGGATACTTACGCAAAACTAATTATTAACAGCGCAGTTTAAAAACTTCCGAAGTTTTTTAAACTGTAACTAATTATTAGTTACAGTTTTAAAGAAATGAGAGGATGTCCCTGTGGGCATCATCCGATTGATTGGGTGGTTCAGAAAGTTCAGATATGCACTGGGAAACCTTCCTGCGCTACCATCGCGCTGCGCGAATTTCTATTTTCTTCACGACAAGTATAGCTCTAAGTCCTGAAGCCGCCATCTTTTTATTCGTGCTAACGCTATATGAATGCTTTAAATAATAAACTAAATGGTATATACCAGAAAATACCGGGACTGACCTGCCGTGGCGGACGTCGGTGACGGACAGTTTGTCGACTCTGAGGCCCGCGACCCTCGGCGCGGACTCACCGTCCTGCGTGGTCAGGTTCACCGACGCCCTGGCCGTGGCCTCGAAGAAGACCGGGAGCACGCGGACGCCAGGAAGCCCGACCTGTGATGGCGGCGCACGAGTTGCTATTCAGTAACCACATGAGTCTTGCAGTGGAATGAGCACAGGCTCAGATATATACCTTATTTCCAAAGGGACGATGCAAAACTTTCTTATTCTTTCAGTGAATACCACTAGAATTATTCCTTGACATTTAAAAACTATCGACAATGGACCCCTTTTCAAAAGTTCGTCAGGCAACATTGGCGGTCACCATTGCTTCTGGTCACCGCGGCCTGGTGATAGGGTGAGAAAATTGGTCTTGGAAGGGCGAGAGGAATTATATATGTTGGTCATTTTAGACTTCGGCTAGGTGGTGCAAGCTACCGCCCGTTACAAAGGTTATAGCCATTATTATTAATCTATCCATGCTCACGAAGCGCGTGATTGGATCCGAGTCCTCGTCGAAAGTTGACGCAGCGCTCGTGTCCAATAGGAGCTCAGAGTATGTGAGTAAGCAATGGCAGACGGGCAGACAGGCGTTGGCGCGGACTTTGGAAAAGGGTTTATTGCAAGCATGGCGCCCCACCAATGCTCCATGCGTGCAAGCGCGTGCAGGGTGCGCGTGAACGTAGCTTTGGCGAGCTTGTAACTGCACGTGCTCGCCCGAACGAGCAGAGGCATGGCTACCGCCAAATGCCCCGCTTGCAATCGTTAAAGTGGGCAACGTCTTCGGATGAAACACCTTTGGTATAAAGTGTCTGGGATGAAGTGTCCTGGGATGAAGTATCTTGGGATGAACTGAGTGGACCCCGTTAAAGTGAACTAGAGAAGGTGTCATGAGCTCAGAGAGGGCTCACGACTGCCGCTTATCGTGTCGATGGCCCGAGGGCGCCACTAAAGGATGGGCTGTAGTAGCACATGCTTTGCATTGCATTTGTTGTGCTACTGGCGTTGTCGTCGTCGTCGTCGTTGTCGTCGCAGTCAATTCGGCATTGCACTTTATCCGACATAAGGACAGAAAACACGGGCAAAATATCTCAACCGGAGCCGTTTCGCGCTGCCAAACCGCCAAGACAAACCTGATCGGCTAAAGCCCTCGGAACGCTCGGATCCTACAGCCCATGCAATCGCAGCGCCGCCCCGTACATCCGAGACCTTTCCACGCTCGCCGCTTCGGAGCAATGCATGGCGCGTGTCGGCGCCTGATCTCACTACCCCTCCTCTAGTTCACTGTATACGATCGTCTATGAAACACGCGTTAGATTTTTTTTTCTCCGCGCAATGGCGGTCGCAAGAAGGAAGAAAAGAAAAAAACGAGAAAATTTGAGCAGCATTTATCCCCCCCCCCCCCCCCCCCCCCCCAGCTCGAAGTCAGAATGAGCAGTCACGTAACTTCCACCCATGTAACTCCACACATTGTGAAGATTCGGCTGCTCCCGTCGTTGCAGCGAGTACACACGAGCCACTGCCTCATTGATTGTTGAACTAATTGATTATCACGAGCCCAAATCGAACACTCACGCAGTGCTCGTGTTCACCGTACGAGGCACGTTTAAATATCGTCATCGCGTGGATCGCAAAACTTGTTTACGAAATCCTCGGGTTTGCATTGTTGACAGGCCAGCAATGCGATCCAAACAACTCCGTCATCAAGTTTTGCAAAGGAGAGTCTGAAAGCAAACTTCCGCTTTAATCCTTGAAAATACGCGGCGTCAAGGAAGCTTTTTGGTCAGTGCTGTCAAAGCTATGCGGAGCGCAAGTTCGTCTGCTTCAGGGTCTAAGATAGGCAGGTGGGGAAACGGCCCATAGAAGACTACCGCAGCGCCGTGACCGGATTGTGTACTCGTCTGCTTGCGGGTACCCCCAACTTGCGACAGATGGCGCTGCGGCGAGAGGAAAAAAAATGGAATCGGATTTGCATGGAACTTTATGGGAGAGTGCGCAAAATAAACCGAGAGCACGACAGTCCTCTATTGAAAATCCACGAGAAACCATCTCCGTCAGTTTAGCCGGTCGCCACCGGTCGCCGACCTGGAGTGAGAGTTGGCGGTGTTCCACATAGATGGCGCCACAGAAAAAGAGAAAACCTAGGGGCACACAATCCGGTCGCTCACTTGGCTCTCGTTTCCCCACCTGTCTATCTTACACCCTGGTCTGCTTCTTTGCAGGGGTTGCGATGATGTCAGAACGCCGAGCTCTTATTGGCTGTTTGATAAAAATAGTGGGTAGACCTCAGGGCGTGTACCATTCAGGTCTACCCACTATCCTTTCAATCAAAGCCAACCAAAGCTCGGCTTCGTTCTGACGTCACCGCCACTCCTGTGCTAGAAGCAGACGACTTTCTCTAAGCATACTGGCGCGCGAGCGCGTGGCTTCAGCAATGGTTTCGTTTGCCCGAGAACGCGTGCATATGATTTGCGATATCAAACCCCATGGTCGCGCCTGCAGCTTTGACAGCGTAGCACACTATTATGAAACAGAGTATGGATCCCTTCAAAAATTACGACCTCATAAGGCCGGTTTACACATTTGCAACGGTTGCGTTCGCGTGCAATCGGAAGCACCGTAACGACCAAAACACCGCAACAACCCTGGTTCATGGGTGGCTTCGCGAATCTACCCCTTGCATCGCCTGCCCGCTTGCCATATTGTGTACGGCGAACACTTGTAACGGTGACTTTGTCGTTACGGTCGTTTCGGTTGCATGCAACCAACGCAGATGTGTGAATCAGCCTTTTGCGGTCGATGTCAAAATACTGCAAAGTGGCGTGTGCAAAAACACCAGCAAGCTGGCAAGTCTATAACCCATATAATACTCACTTCCTGGAGACTGCATACAAGTAATAGACTTGCCATTTTTATTGTGTATTTTGCGCACGCTACTATGGAGTATTTTCAATATCGTGGCACGGCTCCTCTAAATCTGTGCAAAACCGTCTAAAATGGCCGATAGGACCAGTCAAACAGCGTCAAAGGCTCGGCATCATAGTGTCCGTGATGTTCCTCTACGTCTTCTATCATCGCTAAACCAATCATGTACAAGGAAGACCCCATTAACTGCGCTTTTAGTACGTGTGTTATTGGTTCTATCTGTTCGTGCCTTCAACTGTGCTCGGACAGGTCATAAAACCAAGTATAGAAGCCTAAAAAGTCGCGCGAGTTGACATTGCATTAGAAATGTACGGGTACAAGCTACGTTGGCTTTGCGATTTTGGCACGAAAGTAAAATATTCCCCGCAGTACATTTAGGTCGCCATAAAAGTTGAAGTCTAGACAAAAAAAGAAAAACATAGAACTATTTTCTTTTTGATGAAACCCGGTGTCCAAAAGATACACCTCAAACCCCAAATCTTTCGTAACCAAACAGCTTCGGGGTATGGCGCGAGATTCAGGCAACGACAGTCAGGTCTTCAATGAGGAAAATAATTAACGACGACATATCCACTGACTTGCAGATTCCGATGCGCGTCAAAAGCGAAGGATGGATTGCGAGGTCGGAACAATCAGGAACCGGCTAATACAAGCCGCGGGCTATCAGTCATAGCTGAATCAGAGAAGTAAGCAGCAGGCAGTTGGACCGCTCTCGCATTTAAATTTGCTCCGTAATCTATACTCGAACAAAGTTATACGCTATAAGATGACTCAATGGAAATATAAACAGCAGACAGAGCGCTCTCGACATGTTGCCACACTTAGGTCAGTTAATTGTAGATCGGCATCCCTGACCTGAGCCATGCCTTCGAGAGGCAGCACAACGCTCAAGGTGCCGTTGCCGGGGGACAGGCAGGCGTGCTGGACGTCCATCTGCCGGAGCCCGGACACGATGCCCCACTTGAGGAAGCGGACGCCACGCTGGAATTCCAGCATCTCGGGCAGATGGTTGGACAGACTCTGGCCGATGTGCGCCAACATCGGAGAACAGGAACCGGCTTTTCGGGGTTGGTCCACGGGGTCGGAGGCCGCATATGGGCAAGAGAAAAGGTTAGAGACTCGAGGGCCTACACCCTGCTTCACCGCCCGGGCCTAAAGTCCCTTGATGTTTCTTTTCACAAGTAACGACAACCGATACAAATGACAAAGCACATTCCGCTGGAACAACATAAACCTCTGCCATGCGCCGCCATTCGCTCCCTAAAACCTCCACCGTCACGCACTCGGAGCTTCAAAGAATGTGGCTACTTGTAGGAAGCTCTTATCTAGAGACTTTACCCTGGCTCGGCTGACAGTATACGAGCCGATGGGACAACGCCAAACAGCGCCAAAAAGCGCCACGTCATGGTGCTCGTCAAATTTCTGTTTTGGTGTTCTGTCGTCGCTAAGCCAGTTGCGTACCAAGGAGGATCCGGTGAACCTGAGACTTCAGAATGTACGTTCGTGGTGCACGTATTCGTGCGTCCGAATAAGCTCGAAGTTAATATAAAAACGAAGAGGCCATGGCAGAGGTTGCGAGCCAACGGAGGCACCCAAGCAGCGTCAAAGACGCAACGTCACGATGTTTATCGGTCCTTCGTGCGTATGCGTCAACGAGCTCAGCCAACCAAGCCAAGCGCTGTGAATGCGCCGGGAACTTGCGCATTTAGTTTGTGCGTCTCGGTTTGTTGATCTAGCCTTTAAAAACGAAATATAAACAAGTCCGCAGTGCTATATCTTCTACGTCGTCAACCGGAGGTCAACGCGGAGCGCGGATTGGACGCGGGTGCGACGTCAACGATCGGCTGGGATTCGTGCCTTCCCTGATTGGACACGAGTCTGAACCGAGCGCTGACGCAGTACTCGTGACCAATCCGCACCCCGCGTTGACCTCCGGTAAATGACGCGTAAGATACAATGCTACGATCTTGCTGTCCAAGTGATGAGCAACGTTATAGAGTTGAGTGAACGCATTGAAACTCCGGCGTCATTGCTACAAGAACGAATAGAATTTACTTTTCGATGAACAAGTGAACCAAGGGCTGACTGACACAGCATGGCTTCCATTGACGTCACACCAGCCGCCATTGCGATGTCCTTACTGGCAGGCATTTTGCACCTCCGATTTTGCTTTTCTCGGCAAGAACAAGTTTGAATGACAACCAACACGGTACGATGATGTCACGTTCTAGGCATGCGAATGATTTGAGCGTTCAATGTCGCGTACTCACGAGTGTCAGCCGCACTTGTCCAAGCCGCCAGAAGGGGCAGCACAAAGAAGAGCCGATAGAGCCGATGGGCGACCATGTTCCGTGCTTCGCTGCAGCTCCTGTCGAAGTCTCCAAGAGTGCCTGTCTTGCGGAGGCCTTTAATATACGGCTATCGAAAACCCGGAAACGAAGTTTGGCCGATAAAGGCGGCATAAGATCCCCCAAACGCGTTTGTCTCTCAAGTTTCGAAACTCGTTCTTCAAGTGACCGCGGACGTTTACCTGGGCTGCGTTCGCTTTAGCCTTCGGGTGACGCACCCGTCGCTATCTTCTCCGAGTGCCGCCGCAAAGTCAAAGTTCCGCGTTCCCTGTTTTAATCAAACGTCAACAAAACCGCGTTCCCTGCAGGTTTGTTGACGCCTCCACCGATGGCGTTTGTCAAGAAAGTACAGCGCTTATCCGTCCAAAGTTAGGATACACTGATGCCGTGTGGGACTTGAATCTTTCGTCGCACTGCCAGCGTTACCACCATAAAAAGATCTTTAGCTCTGCCCTTTCTAGTGCGTCACCCTAAAATTTTGTTTGTGCCGTTTTCATAAAATCTTTCGCCCCGTCATAAAGTAATAAATCCATCATCCTAGATCTCTTCTCTAATTGATCATAGCAATGTGATCGGTATTCCTAATTTTAAAACGGCATATTTTCAGTGTTCCGTTATACCCCAAACGTCAAATGGTTGGAATCGCCTTCCCGCTTCAATCGCTAACATCACCGATGGTGTTTTGTTTCAAAATTACCTTACTAATATGAGCACTTCCTAATTATGTTTTGAGCGCACTCCCCTCTTCAGTGTATCATCGTGAGGGTATTCTAAATAAATAAATGAATAAATAAACGAATGGTGTATTCCTTGTTAAAGTCCACGACTCTACATGCACCCACGATCGTGCGGAATCGGAGCATTCAACAATTGTTGGTTTCAACCCGTGGCACGACGAGGAACCTTTGTCTCGCTGGGGATTCTTTCGTGTGCCTCGTCGACACTGGTGTGCACACATTTTACATACTACAGCCCGATCGTGCTGAAGTAGCCTGTCCGCGCGCGTTCGAGTTTCTTCAGTCCACGACTAAAGTCACTGGATCAAGGGAAAGTAGCGCCAAGCTCCCCGTATGGTTGCCATTTTGGTCCGTGAAATGAGAAATTTTTTCTTGACCCCTCCGTTCTTGGTGAGCCGATTTAAATTTGCTGGTGACGGGTAGCTTTATGGAGACGTTTCTTGTATACCGAGATTTTTCAAACCACACACCGGCGAAACAAGCGTACATCTTCGTACCACCACCACATAATAATAATAATATAATCGTTTATTTTCACTCCAAAGGAGTATGGAGAGCAGGAAAAAAAGCTGCAGGTGCAGCTTTTTCCCTGCTGTGTCGCGGTGCTTCGAGGCACTGAAAAATACGTTTACTGTTTTAAAATACGCAAGAAGAAGAATAAAATTGTAATAAATCCGCGGAGATGTGCATGATTGATAAGTTGATTGCATACACAGTGCCCGAGACGCTTATAATGGCGAGGAACATTTCCAGTACGATGATGCTCCATGGCGACCTTGGCGCGACTGTTTTAGAACGACCCTCTAGAAGTTTCGAAGATTTGAATGGACCGAGATGGCGATTCACATGGCAACGTTGACACATTAGCCAATCGCCGTGCGAGGTTTTGGTCGTCATATGTTAGTATCTGTTTGTGTCCGGCTAGCAGGTAGGGAAGGCATAAGCGCCACTTAGTGACTTTATTCATACGACTTCACTAATAAAAGATCAACCACGTTTTCAAGTGTGTACGTAAAAAAGAATTGTAGGATTTTACTCAAAAATACATAGTGGCCGACACTTCAGTGACTTCACAATCTATACTATAGCATATGTGGCAGATCACCCTAGGACCTTTCAAAAAAACCTATCACACACAACAAAAAAAAAGCATATGCGGTAAGTTTTGGTAATGCAACTAAAGGACTCAGAGTCACAAACGTCACAAAGTTAATTAGGTGACTTTCGGTGCAGCATCATTTCGAAGTAGAAAGCATATTTAGTGGTTCAAAGATTGAACAACAACATGACTGATTTTCCGGAGTGAAACTGCCTCCCGAGGTTGCTCTAGCGGACGAGGATCGAATGGATGAAGATGCCCTATATCATTCGATAAGCTCACCAAGATTGTGACTTAATATCCTTATGCTCGCACAACCTAAAGGAACAAGTAAACGGTGGGAATCGTGTACCACTTCGATTCAAGCAAACGCACATTGATCAACTGGTATAAAATAAGGTAGCGCGTGCCAGAGGTGTCCTCACCTCAGGTAGTTCCGAACGCGGTTCGAGTCTCCCACCCGTGAAATCTTGGATGGCGCTCCCTCTGTAAATGCGTAACCCACTCATGCAAAGGCTAGACCCTCGCTGGCGAAGTTTGGACTCCGGTGGGGGAGGAGGGGCCGCGCTGCCAAATCTCGCGTGCTTTCTTCAATTTTTCGAAGCGATGAATGCGCACGTACGTGCTGCAGGCTGTGGATTTGTAGCCACTGAAGGCGCCTATCCAGTGTTTATCACACAGGCGAAAAATTTAGAGTCCCTCGTCCGACTCATGCTCTGGCGTCTGATATTACGCTGAAGCCAGCGGGTATGATCAAAACACGCGCCACAGCCTGGTAATATATACGGCAGCACGCAGTGGGGGAAGGAACTTCTATTGCGTACCGTGTAGAATCAGTTCGAGGACTGCTCTTGCAATTGAGACAGTGACAAGTTCGTCCTGAGCGAGTACACGATTGACTCTTCGTTACCTTGCTATTTCCTCAACGCTAACAGCAACAAACCTTGCACCCGGGGCCTCTGCCGAGTGTCTGGGAAAACAGGACGTGCATTTCACTCATGAGGGCACATGACCGCAAAAGTTGAACATCACGGTGCTTGGGATAAAGTTTGCATTCAAGGCAGACGCACAGGATAACAGTCCTTAGAACACCCCGGTCTTAAAGCGAAAACATGCTACACTCCGTTTTAAGTTGTACCGCAGCGAAGGCTAGAAGCGCGAGCTTATAGCGTTGGCAGCTGACCTTAATGCACGAGAGCTTGTGCCGCCGAGATGCGCCCTAGAGCAAAGAGCTCGCGCTCGTAGCCTTCCCTGCGGTATATCATAAGCTGAAATAGAGTATATTACGGAGTTTTAGTAGATCGTTTCGATGACTCCAATGCTGGTATACCCGATGCTGCGCCGACGCCTTTGCGCGTGCATCGTATGGTCATCGGGTATCGTTATCGGAGGTATGGGAACGATATACTAAAACCGTCTATTGGCGAGGTCTATTCGACGCGGATCCCGGGGTCTGTTTGTGTGTAAGTCGTGGCCCGCTACATTTAGCGAAGAATCGTAGTGTCACGTGACAGAGACGTCTGTTTTAACCCCTAGAGTTAGCGGCAAAATATGTCCGCTAAATTCAGCTGGAATCAACGTTACTAGACTAGCCCAGTTACGAAACTGCCCATAGACGTACACTTTCATGAGCAGTACACAGCTGGCGTGGCCTCGTTGACAGCTCGTCAACTATATACGTCACTGATACCGTGACGCGAACGCCATGACCACTTTCATTTTGCCATCTTCGAGCTCCACCAACGCCGGGGAGCTACACCCGTATGCTTGGTTCTCGGTTTCCTCCGACGTACGGATGATTCAAGTCGTACGTCGAAGAAAGGGGAGGGGGGTGTACACCCCCCTTTTTCCGAATTGAGGGGGTGCCTTCAAAAAAACAAGGGGGAGGGGGGGACCCCTGGGTGACGGAGGCTCACAAACACCGCCATTCCGAATATTACACGGCGATAGTACGATAAACGGGCAACGTTATGTGCAACTAAACCCCATGCGGCAACAACACGTCGAGGAAAGCACGGCCATGCGTCCGGTCGTCACCGAATCTGCCGTTCGACGGTGATCGTTCGGCCCGGTAACACGAGCTTCTCTTTCCAAGAAGCTCTGCTCCTACTTGACACTGAAAACGTCTTTTTTGCGGTCTGTGCGTGCTTGGCGGTTGGATGATCCACACGGAGCTGTTTTCGAACGTGAAAGTGGTCGTAAAAACGTAAAAGTCGATGTGATCATCGTATGTGCTCCCCGCTTGCCGTGAATGCACTAGCCCGAAACGAAAGTTGTGACGATCGACGGATGGTCAGCAAGTGCTCCCGTGTAGATGTTGTTGCTGCCTGTGCGTCATAAAGCAAAAATAGATTGCCCATCGCATCACACTTCGTGTCGGAAGACTCGTCCTGCTAAACGCAGGGGACGTGGCGAAACGATCCACTTTTCGACCGTGCCGGCGCCAATTTTTTTCATCCTTGCGTTGCATGGCCTGTAGCTACAAGGGGTTTTCAAATGTCCGACAAAAATAAATAAAAAACGAACGAACTTATGAAACATTGGAAAAAACTTCGATTCCCGACATTTCCGATCTCCCTCTTGACCGCCATCTTTGATTTTATGAGGCTTCCCAGTTGGCCTAATACATGTCCCAGTCGTCCCAGTGCGTTGATTCAGCGCCTCCTCTTGCTGGTTGATTGTTGATTGTTCTGTGGCAAGATTCTGCATGTGTAAGGAAGGAAACGTTTATCAAATTCTTGTAAAGGAGTCGTTCATGATTTCCAGGAACAGTAGATATTTTAGCAATATGTCCGCGTTGAACTTACCAACCCTATTAAAACGTTTCTTAACACTCAATTTTTTTAATTTTTTTTTATTAGTACTAGTGTTATTAGTTCGACCGCCGGTTGGGGGGAAGGGGTGTGGTTGAAGTGCTTTTCCTGTTGGTTTCCTTTGGGTTGGTTTAGGGAGCCTTCATATGGGCTTGGTTGGTTGTCTCCCTTTAGAGAGTGCGTTGGTGCTTTTGGGGCTTCCTTGTGTCCGTACAAACTAGTGTTCTGTTGTCGGTCACCGCGGTTTTGTTATTTTGTTCCTTGGTTCTTATCTGCCACGGTGACCTCAGGCAGCGTGTGTCCTCTTATCGGTTTCTTCAGCTGCGTTCGGAGTTTCGCACCTGTCTGTCCTTTTTTGCCCCCCTTCCAGGGTTGCCATATCTGTCGAATACTACACCGGCTAGATTTCTCATCTACAGGGTGTCACAAATGAAAATTTACACTGTCTTTTTTACCGCAAAAATAAACTAGGCGTCGCCGAACGCTCATTTTCCGCCCAAAGGTAGAGCTAGAGGTCACAACCAGATGCCAAAGTTTCAGCCCGATCCATTAACTTAATGAAAAGTTATAAGTGATTTTCTGAAATTTTCAATGGGAAAATGGCGGCCGACGGAGTTTTCAAACACATGGGGCTCTATGGCAGCAGAAACCGAAAACAGGCAAAAATGGGCTCCATTTTCCCATTGAAATTTTCAGAAAATCACTTATAACTTTTGATTAAGTCATCGGATCGGGCTGAAACTTTGGCACCTGGTTGTGACCTCTAGCTCTACCTTTGGGCGGAGAATGAGCGTTCTGCGGTGCCTAGTTTATTTTTGCGGTGAAAAAGACTGTGTAAATTTTCTTTTGTGACACCCTGTACATTGGCATAGGTGGGGGATTTCCCTTCCCACTCACTAAACGAGGGGGGGGGGGGGGGGGGGGGGAGGGTGTACACACCCTCCAGTTTGTCTGAGGGCTCCCTCTAAAAAAGCTCTACCGCTAAATTAAAAAAAAAAAAAAAAAAGAATTTGCGCGAAACATTTGTAAGCGTGCTGACTCAAAAGTGGAGCACGAGCCGTTTCGTCGCCTTGGCATTCATTACAGTATCACAGTATTGACACCGTGGCTGTTATTTTCTGACGTTGCTTTTCGCTTTACTTTGTGCTTTCTTAACCATTCTTCACCGAATGCTACTGGTCATGTTGAGTGCAGAGTTCCATAACCTTTGCCGGGCACCAAACATGCATTTCTGTCCACAGGCAGAAGGAAACAGCATAAATAAAGTAAAGAAAATAGAAGAAAAAAAAAACTGCCTCCTTGAGTTGTGCGCCCCCCACCCCAAAAAACAAATTGAATTCTTGGGGAAACAGTGCGTGGGTAGTAATGTCGCCATGGCTAATTCTTATTCTTATTTGGCGAATGTTTACTACTACGACTGCTACTACATTTATTCTAGGAGCATATATTCTGTTCCGCCACGCGCATTTAGTGATTTTACCGGGAATATATTGCACCGCGGGATGGCGCTACATTCCGCCCCATATAAATATACTGTTGTTTCTTCTCTATACTAAATTTCTCAAAACCCTCACTTCCGCTTTTTTTGTGCGCGCCTTTTTTGTTCGGATCCTCCACGCCGCACGCCGTCTTTGCCTCTTCGGTCATCGATAAGGCCCTTTGTTTCGGGAAAGTCCCGAATGAGGAAGTCGGTGGCAAACTGCAGTGGTTGACGATGCCTCCGCAACTTAGGAAACGCCCGGCGCCACCGCCCGATGCCTTACCGTAAGTGCCACGCTGGGGGTGCCGGACACTTATTCGAACGCCGTTTCATCGAACGCCGTGTCATCGAATCGCTTATGCCGTTTCACCGAATTTCACTTCACCGAAAGAGGCCACAAGGAGACGTCGCCTCCTTGTGGCCTCTTTTCTTCTCGTCCCTTTTCCGAAATACCCCAGTCTCGGGTTAAACAAAACTATGGTTAACTTCCACCAGCTCGCCTGCACCCTTACAATTTTTTTCACTTTCACCGAATGTTTGACCATTTCAGTGCCCTTTCGATGTTTTAACTTTGCTTCCGAATTGTCTTCGCGCTGGTCACTTTTTCGTCAAATGTTTAGTTGCGGAATCATAGAGGATAACAAAACTTGAGTGGGCATGCAACTTACCGTTCTCAGGTAAGATAAGCGGCTGTTCACTACCACACACTTCGTTCCCACTTCATTCCCCAACTTGTTTACGCATGAGAGGTACTTCCTGAAAAGACATATAACTATTCCTCGCTGCGCTTTTTATATTTTGTGTTCATCTGCTTACATGTGTTTTTATTGGATGCTAGGATACACCACGTGACCCTCTCTACCCTAAAGGCCCTGTCACACTGAGGCAACACGACGGCAACAGCAACACAACACGCTGTCCAACAGTCAGGCAACTTGTTGCTCGCTCCCCGTGTTGTCCGACAAACCTGTCACATCGAGGCAACAGCAGCACAACATGGACGACAACTAAAATGTTGCCTCGGTATGACTGCTTTCGGCAACAAAAACAGCAGCAACTTGGGTTGGACAGCGTGTGTTGCCCTGATCGCTGGCTGAGCGAATTTCGGGCCGGCAACACGACAACAGAGATAGCTTCGATGGCAGAGCTAGTTTCCTATCAATAACGATTTACTCAAATAAAGGCTCGGAAAATGTTATTCAACAATTAAGGCTGGTCTGCAGCTAAAATTATTTGATGAATGTTTTTACTGCGTAATTACGGAAAGCGATCGTCGAAATGGTCAGAGCTACGGTCGCGAACATTCAGATCGGTGTTGAAATTAGAACTGCCAAGGGACCAGCTCATGTTACTGCAAGGGAAATAAAATGGCATGCCTACCAGTGTTGCGGAATGGGCACCCCCCTTCCATTCCAATTCCATTCTGGGAAATTAGAGTTTTCGATAATTCAATTCCTAGGAATTTAAACACTGGGCCCATTCCCACTCCTGAAATGACTGAATCGTTCCATTCCATTCCTTTAATTCCTAAACGTAAAAATTGGCACTTGACAGCTACATTGTGTTGCCGGCATAAGCAGCATAAAGCTGACATTATCAAATGCAGAGACAATTGCAAAAAAAAAAAAAAAAAAAAAAACTAGATTCCTCAAAACAGCACTGATTTTACTAAGCGGACCGCTGGTGGCACAAGGTGTTTATTTACAATGTACTGCAAACATTGAAAAAGCCCCTTGATATGTCGATGCTTGTTTAAGACATCGGTCTCGCGACCATGTGGCTCGCAACAAACAGCAAAACCTAAATCCACTCATTTTCTTTTCTTTCTTTAACTTTTTTGCATTTTACTTTTAGGACATACGCGGCCAGCGTGTTTGTTTGATAAGACCATAAAGTTATCCAGTTCGTACATGGCTTAGGAATAAGCTATATTACTGTATTCTTCAAATACAGCGACACGGCTAGTACACTGCTGGAAGCGACTCCATGCACAATGGCAAGAACACATCCTCTGACAAAATGCAACCTCTGCGGCGCAGCACGATTGATTGTATCGATGTCACGAAACCTGTTTTAAAACGCATAAGTACACGCTTGCTTTACAAATCTCGATATTTCTTATCATATTCAATTATATTTTTGGCTGGTTCGCCTGCCCTTTTCCACCCTTTGCATACTCATTCCCGTGTTTCCTCTTCAGATGGCGAATAAAGTTCGATGATATACGCCGACTGTACCGTGTATAGTTTCGTTGCACAACTTTCAGCGTGCAGCTTGTTTATTTTCTTTGCGACTAATGTCGAAAAATGTCTTCCATGATGCCATGACTCGATCTGTATTTATCTTGTCTTCTCGTCCGAATGTGATGTTCCTCTTCGCGCTGATCGAGTGGCGGGCTCAGGCAGCAGACGGTACTAACCAATTCATTCTTCTACCTCGGTGTCGGTTGTTCGCGTCGTGGCGACGGGTCGGGTCGGCGTTGACAAAGCTCTTCACATCAAGATACAATTCATGGGGTAATACCGCACCGTTCGAATTAACATTCCCCGTGTTTCCTCAACCACACCGTCCAACTGATTTCTCACCGCCTCAAACAGGGTCCAGGACAAGGAGCACGAATGCAGACCGGACAGCCGAGACGCGCGGAAGCCAAAACCTCAGTGGCAGCTAGCAGCTCTCCTTCTCAGTTGCCCTCACAGCAACGGTCGCACCTCGTCTGGCGCGGGACGATCTTTCTGCAGGTCTAGTCAGTTGGGTCACACCAAGAGCGATGACGATAGTCTACTTCACCTTACGATGGACCTCAACAGACAGCACGAGAGCCATCGAAACCAATTCAGCACCTCCTGAGTATCGCGTGACCCTGCAGTCCCGCTCACGGTGCTGGATTGCCTAGGGTGACTCGTAGCGTCCGCAGCAGTCCATCGCAAGGTGAAACGAAGTATGCAGAGACTAAAGTCAAAGGAAATGAGCGGGAATCCGCTAGCTTGCTTGTAACCCAACCCACTAAAACATATAACACAAAAAACAAGCATAGGAACAAAGACCAAGTAAAAGGCGGACTTACACTACAAATGCAGTATAAAAAAACAAGCCTCGGAGCAAAGCGCAAGAGGAGAAGAGGGAAGTGAATCTCGTTCTGTTTTAATGCCGAAGCAAACCCACATTTCGCAATTCAAAGGAGTGCGTACGAATGAACGTGGAAGGCAGCAGGGTTGGCTGCCTGCTAAACAACGCTCCTCGAACTATAAGAAAACAATACGTGATCATCTTTCTGCGGCGCCCGAGTCAACGAGTTATAGGAGCTCTGCGAGTTATGAGTCGCTTCCGCTCCCAAGTCTCAGTCTGTGCGTGCGCGTGCATTCTACAAACCGCCGCAACAACAACAAAAAAGCATGACAAGAAGGACGATGAGGAGTTGTGCATGGCGGTTTCTTTCTTTGCCGCTCCCTTTTCTTTTGCTTGGTGCTTGGTTTCTTGTTTCGCTCTCGTGTAATGCCATCGAAGCCCGACGCCTGCGCGTCCGTGAAAGGCGCCACGTTACCCACCTTCCCCCCTTTGCTTTGACACTTGCTTTTTGTATTGCATTTTTTTTTTTTTTTTTTTTTTTTTGCGTATAAGTTTTTTAGGGCTTCACGCGGGCTAGCAGCTTCCCGCTCATTTTATTTCTGAGCAACAGACTCGCTGGCTGGCTCAATTTAGCTAACTGTAAACACTAAAAAAAAAAAAAAAAAAAAAAAAAGTTGTGCTTATTTGGTTTATTCTATTCCCATTCCATTCCGGGGTCGTGAAAATGCGGAATGATTCCGGAATCATTCCAACTCTGGAGTGGCAACTCCGCAACACTGATGCCTACTCACCCGCTGATATAAATAATCCTGGAAAGGGAAGATTAAAAAATCGAAGCATTATATTGACCACTCTTATGATTGTTGATGCTTGGAACTTGGAAACAGCCGCTACCAGTCACCAGGACGTTCTGGGGAATGAAGCGATCGCATAGCAGGCGGTAGGCAAATATACAGCACTGAAAGATGTTTATTCCACCGACTGTTATGAAAGCCGATCGTGTCGGTGTCGCAGTTTGCAAGCACTGTCAGTTCAGCTCAACACCACGCTACAAAAGACGCTTTGGGGTACTACCGGTGCAAACTCAATTTTACAGTAGAAATAGGAATTGCGTGAAAGAAAGAATCGGGCAGAAACACTTCATACGGTGGCGTAAATCCCAAACATATATCAGCGATCTCACTTTCCTCGATTGGGGCTATCTGCTTTGTCAGCGAATGAAGAACATTTTGATAAAATAAAGGATGTAAAATACTTCCCGTGTCAAGTTTTCTAATCACAGTCACTGGTTGATGTCGTACCGTGGTCATTTCCAGCACTTCGAACGCACTAGCACTTTGTAGAGTCACATCTCCAGCGACGCCGCGCCGCACACGAAGGTAGACAATCAAGATGGCAGAGTGTTCCCCGTGTTGTCCCTGCCGTCAGCGCGGTGTGACAGGGTTGTCGGACAACACGGTGGCCTTGCGGCAGCAATGTGTTGCCCGACTGTTGTTGTTGCCTCGATGTGACAGGGTCGCCGGCAACACGATTTTCTCGTGTTGCCGGACAGAGTTGTCCAACTGTTGCCTCAGTGTGACAAGCACCGGCAACTGGCGTTTTCGTTTGCCTGGGTCGCGCGTGAACTTTGTTAACTTCGTCCTCGATTATTTTATGATACAATACGCACGCTGTAGGCATCAGCAACATATATTCGGACTCTGAGATGTGGGTAAACAAATTTTAGTACATTTTGTTTGGATTCCCGATGAACTGTTACCATCTTACAAGAATCCCAGGAAGCTCACCAGTGTCGATGTTTACATTCCATTTTCTTGTTATTACTCTTTTTTCTGGAATCCTCAGCATTTTCATTTGGTCCAGCCTTTAAAGGGATACTACAACGAAATTTTGGCGCTCATTTTTTGGTCTATATGTGTTAAAAGAAGCAGCATCACATCGAACATACCAATATCTTGTTAAAAAAGTCACGAAAAGGAATTTTAAAACAAATTAAACGATTAGCAAAGAGCACCTGGTGGATGTCGCTAAGGCCTCGCTTGTAATGCCCGTCTAGAAACCTTGACAGCTAGTGACGGAGGTTGTCTCGCCTCCGGCCACGACGAGAGAAGAGGGGCAGGAGGAACTCCCCTCTTCCCGAGATTGCCTTTGTGTGTCGCAGAAGTCGCTATTGCCCCCCTAAAAGATTACAGAAGATTAACCCGTCACTCAAAATTCGTACAAAAGCAGTCGCTTCGGTGGCTGGAACGACTAGGTCATCCTCTCGACGTCAGCCTCGCCGTAGCTTTGCTCGTCCTGAGACGACCTACGTCACGATTGCGTTGGATGTCATATGGTCTCCGCTGGGCCTTCTCGGAGCACTTGCCAGAGTGGGCCGTTTATAACGAAAAATACAGCCACCAGGCTTAAAATACAAACTTGCGATTGTCATTTACGGATATTGTTGATCATATTCAACCTATTTTTGACCACGATGGGAATATTTCAAATTTCGGTGAAGTATTCCTTTAAAATAGTAAGGCGCGCTCAAGTGTCGAGCTGCAGCACTATCAATACATCTCTTTTACAGCGGTGTAATAACACGCTGTGCCCCATAACCAACTGAACTTACGCAAGCTCCCTTTAAAATATTTTATCTTTATCTCCGTTGTTCTTGCTGTCTTTTCTGGGACCACAGAAAAGTGTCTGTCTCAATGGCTTCATTTTCTACTCGAACCCGCTATCAGCAAGCATTGTTTCGTTTGGTTCCCTTTCCCGATTCGGATATGACGATACCAGATACAGTCTGGCAGACAAGCTGCCCGACCTCTTAAAGCTCGGGCAAAAATTGTGCCGGTAAATTGCCGGCACACACCTGAGAAGCGCCACCCGAACGGCGCGCGCTCGCCAGCCTTTGACCATGCGAACGCCCTTGCCGGTGATATGGCAAAATATTTTGCTGGGAAATGACTGCCCGGATTTGCCATAAGAACTTAGGTTTAAAGGCCAGCAGGCCCATTTTTATGCTGATCTCAAAAAAAAGAAAAGGGAGACACAGTTTTTTGGGTTTTTTTTTCATGCGACATAGAGACAGGTCATCAATTGCTTCAAGGACGGCTTCGTGCTTGAAGCAGAATATGTCTCTTCAAGGACAAGGGTGCACCACTGAAGAAACGTATACCTTCATCACTGCACCTGATGATAACAGGTTTCAAAACATTTTAAGTCTGTGGTAACATTTTCTATTGGCCTCATTAACAGTGAGTCATGAGTTACTATGATGAACTAGAAATGGAAGTGGCAGTGAAATAAAGTTCCTTATTATCTTATACAATCTTGTGCGCAGCAAGGACTAGGACAAAAGAAGAGATCAGGACACAGCAGTGCACCTTGTTGTGTCCTGTTCTCTTCTTTTGTCCTCGTCCTTGCTGCGCACAAGATTGTATAAGATGTCAAACCAACTCGCCCAAACAACCACTCTTCTTGTTCCTTATTAGTTCTCTCACCCTCTAGGAAAATTAACTTTATAAATTATAATGATATAACACTGCTAGTCTTCCCTTGTTAAGAGAAAACCATTTCCTAGATCAAAAATTCTGTACTGCTCAACTAGGTGGTGTTCACTGAAATGGATTCGATGAAATGTCTTAACTCACGGCATCACCCAGTGATCTTTAGTCAGTGACAGGTAAAGTGGAAGCTCCTCCCACCTCTTTCCACTTTAGCCGAGCAAACGCTGGGGAGAATTTTGCCTACTTTCCAGCGTTCACTCTGCCAAGGGAGAAAGAGGTGGGAGGAGCTTCTACTTTACAACTTGTCACCAACTATGCAAATGTGCATCCCCCCTTCCCTTTCCATAAAAAAAATACAAAAATACAGGGGGCTATTTTTATTGCAAAAGCAAAGGATGCATCGCCAAACGCTTAGCCAACGTCCAAACGTAGCGCTAGCAGTCTGTACTAGATATAGAACTTTCAGAACCATCCGTTATCTTATTCAAACGATATAATGATTTTCTAAAAATTTCTTTGGGAAAATGGGGCCTGTTCTTGTAAATTGCTGCCATTCAGCTCCAGATATTCTAGGGCTCCTTCGGCCATCATTTTCCCATTGAGAATTTCAGAAAATCACGTTTAACTTTTGAATAAGATTACGGTGAGCTTTGAAACTTTGGCGTCTGGTTCAAGCCGCTAGCTTTGCAGGTGGGCGGAAAATGAGAGTTTGGTGATGGATAGTTTATTTTTTAGGTAAAAAAAAAAGCCCCTGCAAACATTGTTTGGAACAGCCTATACGACTGCCCCCACCCCCAATTTACTTCACAAAGTACACCAACCTTTGGTACATGCCTCGTATACTAAACATATGGCAATAGAGTTGTGCACAGGTTTAGTGGTTTATGCACGCAGCAATTTGGGAAAGGGCATTTCTCATACGATTCCCTAAAATGGTTGTAGCCTGCAGATCTCTCTATTGTTTTGTTTTTTTATTTATTTATTCATACTAGTGGCCGTTACAGGAGCGAAGTTGTCATCAGTCCTCTGTCGCGATCCTTTTGTCCCTTTCTCAGGACAGTCTCCCAGTGCCGCTGGGAACTCCGGAGATTCGCCACGAGAAACCGCTGTCCAGAGATCTCCACGGCCAAGGAAGCATACAGCTTTCTGAGCACCATCGGTGCCTACGCCGATTTGCCCCGGTTTTTCAAGCCGTGCACGAAAAGTGACGGCGAGTCGTGTCACCTGCTGGACCAGCTCGACATCTGGAACCAGTTTCTGCAAGAGGTGGGCATGCTGCTTGAGGAAGTGGCTCCGGGGACACTCAGCGTCGCTCCACAGCGCAGGGCTTCTGACAGTCTTGCAGCCGAGTACTGCAATCCCGACGGATGGGTGCTCCTTCACTGGCTCTTCAAGGAACATCACTGCATTGCAAACCTACGGCTCCTCAGTCCCAACAAACATTCCCAGCTCCATCTGGGCGACGCACTGAGCCAGAACTCTGGACTGAAGACGCTGACACTGAGTTACGAGACGAGCGAAGATCGTCTTGTAACTGTGGAGGAGATCAGGATGATCTCCTCCACCGTGAGACGTTGGACAAAGCTGGAGAGCTTGTCCATCAGCGGATTAGTGCTGTCCAATGACGTTGCGGTGCTGCTCGAGGCCTCCCTGGAGAAGCTACCGTCGCTGAGGTCTCTGGAGGTATCTTTCTTTAGTATCGCTCCTGCCTGCGATGCTGAGCTGCTCAAGGGTGTGTTCAAGAGGATGTCGGCACTGACATCGCTCTCCTTGTCCTACACGTTTGAACCTCCAGACGTTGAATTGCTGCTCCACTGCCTGGGACCTGGTCTGTCCAAGCTCAGCGTGGATGACAGTTTTCTGGTACCCCAGGAAGGAGCGGTCTTCCAAAAGTTTCTCTCTGGCAATACCATCTTGAAGAAGCTGACCCTGACCCAAAAAGTGTGCACAGGAATGGGCGAGCTCGATAATGTATTCAAGGGTCTTCTGGTAAATCATAGCCTCGAGGAACTGCACCTTTCGGGCTTTGGCCTCGAAAATCCCACGATGGAACTGCTTGCAGAAGCTGTGGTGGAGCACAGCACCCTGAAGATTTTGGAAGTTAATTTTTTCGACGAGTGCTGGGAGATGGACGGTACACCTCTTGCGAAGATGCTGGGTCAGAACAAGAGCATCCAAGAACTGAAGTTCGAAGTGGGCGAAGTTGCCTGCTACGACGCATTCGCCGAGGCAGTTCGCAAGAACACCACTCTGAAGAAGCTGTCTCTCAATCTTGTCCAGTTAGACGACTTGGCCGAAATCTTCGTCTACAGGGGGTTTCTGGAGGCACTTTCGTGCAATGGAACGATCCAGCAGGTCACGCTGGGAAGCATTTACTCTGTTTTAGTCAGCCAATTCAGCGAGCTTCTCCGTGAGACTGGGACTGAAAGAAGGGTGACCTTTGAAGTCGACTTTTCAGATGCCGAGTTGTTTACTGAGGCTCTGGAGAAATGCTGGGGACTCGCTGAAATGAGTTACTCAGACTGGGGGTCCAAAATCCCTGTGCCCCCAAGTGCATATCGGCACCTGATGCGATATCGCTACCTCGAGGATCTAGACATCACCCTCTGGGATCAACCGATGGATGACGAGGCCGCGACTGCCCTGGCTGAGTTTCTTGCATCTACCAGAACCCTGCAGTCCGTCCGTCTCCTCTTCCACATTTCACCGGCGGCCACACATGCACTCTTGGACAGCATCTCGTGCAATAGGAGCATCTCAAGTTTATTCATATCGGGGTGGACTTTCAATGAACTGAATGCCAATCTGTTGTGGCAGATCTTGAGGAACACAGAAATTCTCAACAAAATCTATCTGTCACTCTACAATAACAGCGATTTCAAGGCACTGAGCCAGTTCCCGGAACGTCTGCTAGACAACCACAGCCTGTTATCTGCAGATTTTTCGGACTTTAAGGATTTCAAGTTGAAAGTCAAGGACGTGATGCGGCGGAACTTGTCGACCCTCTACCGTGCCGTGATGTTTGTGATGGGTTCGCGTGGAAGGCGCTATGCCGAGGCCTTTGAGCGCGTCTCGAGGAGTCCAGCTTTGGTCAAGGAAGTGCAGAAGTCTGCCTCTGAATCCAAGGAAGATGCCAAGGAACGGGTGAGGTGGGCCAAGGACTACCTGAACGAGCACTTCCTGGCGGCAGCTTGTGTTGTCAAGGACACTGTTACGTGCACCAAGAATGGACAACTGCAGCTGGATCAGATTAGCTTAGACAGCTGGCTCCATATCCGACGGTACCTGAAGGTGACTGATATCAAGGAACCCACTAATCAGCCATCTACGTCCCGTCACCTTTATAAGAAGCGTCGATTGAGGCGTTAGATGTGTAGAAATTCCTTGTAGATTTTTTTTTGTTTTTTATTTAAAGTGATTTTTTGTTTTAATTGGCTGCGAGAAAGAAAAAAAAAACCTGTGTGTGTGTGTGTTTTTTCTTTTTTTTTGCATATCCACAGGTTTGTAGATGCTGGGCGTTCCTAAAAGAAAGTTCTGTTTCTGAAATTTGCTGGCATTTTTAAAAAGTACTAATGCTTATGGACTATTTGCAGCGTGTAGTTCTTTGCATAACATACTTTTGATTTAAATGCCCAAGTATTACTGGCAGTTAGGAATTTTTGAAGGTAGTCTTTCAAGTAATGTCAAATGGGGCAAGCTTGAAGTTTCCTGCAATTTTTGTTTATTGACCCTAGAGTACAGGTCTTCTACTGCATTTTGATATTTGAGAAATGCAGGCATTAAACTGTCGGAGCCTTGAAGACAACCACGCATCTGTTGTGGATATATTGAATATTGGTGTTTAAGAATTTCATACTTGTAAAGCTCCTGCTCAGTTATGTGGGAGCATGCAATGTTCACCTGGTGAACCATCTACAACAAACTAGGATGCAGCAAGTGGACCTTTGGTGTCAATAATAATAAAAAATAATGAAGCGAAAATTTTGTTTTTGTTTTTACTGGCATTGGTTTCTGGTGGTAATGAAGAGCAGTAGCTCCGCCTCCAGCCAATGCTCCAGCGTGCACTGCTTAATTTCCGTCGTGCTTTGGTTGCACATGCTCGCAAGACAACGAAGCAAAATCGAAGGTAGAAAGCTTATGCCACTAAACTCTGTTTCAATGCGAGAGTGAGCGTAGCAGGTGCCACAAGAGCGAGCTTTCGGCATCGCTGCCAACCAAGAATGCTCGTATGGTGCAAGTATCCTTCAAATCACACTTTCGGTTGCCCAACTTGGCACGGTTGGGCTTGGCGTGGCACAGTTTGTGTTTTCTTTTCAAATTGCCAAACAACTCGCGAGGACTAGGATCGACAAGACGCAACTTTTCTTCAATCCCTCATCCTTTGTTTTCCCCAAGCTCCCCATCGGCTCCGGCTGTGCGAAGAGCTCTCGCCAAACACTGACGCATACGTAACCGAAGCCTTTGTTTTCCTTAAGCTTCCCATCACAATACACTGTGTTGAAAGACTCATCTTGCTTGAACACAGTACATGTGGGGAAACTAGCCCCTTTTCGACTGTGCCGGTGCAGATTTTTTTCACCCTTGCATTGCGTGGCCTGCAACTAGAGGGGTTTTCAAATGTTACATTATATACCTGTTTTCACCTCAAGAACCGTAGTAAAACAGGTGAGGCTCCTCGCAGAGCATTACTAATTTCCTTCTGTATGTTGGTAATTAAGATATATGTTGGTGCATTTAAGATTAGATGTATCATATGAAGACATACACATTCCAAATGGCAAAGGCATCGCTTTTTTTTCCGACAACCAAATCTCGTAAGAACTACTTCGCAATGTGTACGAACAATGCGCAAAACGTGTGTTTTTCTTGAAGTGAAAACAAATGTACCTGCTCGTTCATCTTAAAAAACCGTTTATCTTAAAAAAACAAAGCAAAAAAAAAATGGATTAATGAATTACTGAAGTCGATCACACAGTATTACCTGTCACAAAACACATCAATTCCGATGAGTTGTGATGCCCACAGAGGCAAGCCGATCACCCTCTGGATCGCCATCTTTGATTTCCGCAGCACCCCCTATGTTCGCTGAAACTTCAAAATACTGCAGCGGTCAAATTCCTAATCTATGTGGGCAGTGATTTCCTTGCCCACCCCCTAGGGGGCAGTGGTGTAGCCAGGGGTGGGGGGGAAGGGGGGGTTCAGAAGTCTGAACACCCCCTGAAATTTTATGGTTTTTCCCCTTTCCAACGTCAGTTATCTTTTTTTTTTTTTGTTTGTGCTTTGTCCTTTTGTTAAGGCAGTAAAAGTCTTGTGTTTCTCTTTCTGTTTGACAACTTACTACAGCCAGGGGCCGGGCCCACAGCATTCTGAAGCAAAACGAAGATGACGACACTGTCCGTGGACTGCGTGAGAAACACAAGTCTGGCTCTGGCTCTCCGAAGAGCTCTCGCCAAACTCGAACGCATTAGTAATCTAAGGTTTTCCTTGGTTCACAGGTGCGAATGGCTCAGCTCTCGACGTCACAAAAGCCGCGAAATCCTGACCTGGAAGGACGGTGGCGTCGCCTCTGAGAATGCAGGCAACTTGACTAAAGTCCCCCTACCCTTTGAGGCTTAAGGATTCGACGGCAATTTTAGGGCAGTGAAACAAATGCACAAAATAGCAACGATCTGACTCTGCAAACCCCACAATGAGGCGAAAACAGGGTGACGGCGTTTTTCTTTGTTTCGTCCCGTCTTTCCCTCTCAGAGTTCACTCGCCCGCACTCCTTTTGTTTCAGTAATACACCAACCAAACTGTTAAAAAAAGCATCCCCCTTAATCAAAAGATAAATAAGCGAGAGAAAAGTGGCAAAATATGCACAGTGAAAGCGACTTTAAAATGCTCATAGTCACTTGGTTTCAAAGCGTACCTAGTTGACTTCTTGATTCGCTGCAGTGGGTAATGTTTATAGCCTTGCGTTCAGCACGTGACTCGTGAAAGTTTCTCTACATATACACTTTCTGGATTGTCTAAGAAAACTCTACCGCAAAAAAAAGAAACTGCTGTGGCTAGCGTTACGTCTGGACGGAGCACTGAGACGCGTATACCTAACCCTCCCCCCCCGCTCTCCCCTCTCTCCCCTGTGAACTTAGGGAAGGCAGAGATTTGGACGTAACTTGGGTTACGTCAGACGTAACGCTAGACACGTCGAAAGAAAAAAAAATATTTTACGCGAAACTGTTGTAAGCGTGCTGGCTCAAAAGTGGTCATCGGAGCACGAGCCCCTTTCATCACCTCTCCTCCGTGCTGCGTTCCTCCTACCATCAGCGTTAAGAACAGAGGAGAGGTTTGCCTAGTGACTCTAGGTTTGCCCGTTCAATATATATTCGTTATTGAGATTCATTGCGGTATCACAGTATTGATACCGTGGCTGGTACCCATGTAGCACCCAATGTCGTGCAAACATGCCCTGGGTGTTCTGAATGTTGAAGGAAAGTTAAAACACCATTCGGAATGTTCCCCTTCAAACATTCATATGCAACATTTTTGGAACATTTGCTTGCGAACATTTCTAGAATTTTCGCAGGGGAAGCCAACTTTACTGAGCTCTCGCGCAACCTGTGGTTCGAAACACCATCCACTACATGCCACTTTGTACCAAAAATATGCAAATTAAGTGGAGTTTCTGGAAACTTAGCATAAGGGATCAGTTTTATCTCATACGAGTCCACCGAGGAATAAGCAATGGTTTTCAAAACGTGATAATGAAGTTGGCACTCACTGCGTATGTAAAGGGCCAGTTTTTAATAGACCTGATTTTTAGCATCTGGGGTTCAGTACTTTGATAGAGGCATTTCCCAGTTGAGTGTGGGATGCCACGTGTTTCTGTTCTTAAAGGGGCACTGACACATCAAAATCGTATTTTTTTTTATTATCCGAAACGGTCGAAAACGATGCCGGGACATTACCCTCAAAATTTGAAATTTGGGAATTCAGTATTCGTGAAGTAAAAAAACAATTTCCAAATGCCGAATTCGAAGTTCCCGCGCGATCGGCGCCGGTGCCTTGACGTCAAAAATTGCGGAGACCTGAGAGTCCCCTTTCCTGTCACCACTCCCTGCTGTTGCCATGGCGACCCAAAGCGAGGAGGAAAGGAGCGAGCGCCGGTGTAGGACGCCGATCTCACTACCCCTCCGCTTCGACTACGGTAGTGGTTATGGCGTACGCCAAAATCAATACCGTAGTCGTTTCGGCGTACGCCATAGTCAATACCGTAGTCTTTTTCGCATACCCCAAACACACTACCCTTACGCCAAATTCAATACCTTGAATAACGTCGGTTCAGCAGGGGTTGAGCCAATCCGTATTTCGCTAAAACTGGCGGAAGTAACTTTCTGCAGCAAAATACCCTGATTGTTTGTTGTTGTTTGTATGAGCAGCGGAACGCGCGCGGCAGGCGTTGCTAATTTTGATTACCGTTGATACGGCTGACGGCGCACAGAGCTGAAGGGCACAAGCAAGGAAGCTTGGAGTGATTCTGTGTCAATGTGATTTGACGTCGCTTCTTTCTGTTTCTTCAATCATGGTGCAAATGCAGGTGCCCGACTCCCGAACGATTCGAAGGCAAGAGTGGTAGCCCGCCTATCCGCTGGTCTTTCAATCGCATGCACTGTCGTCATTTTGGGCACAGCGGAAGTAAATAAGACGCTCACTATTTTAAATAGCGTGCAATCGCCCTGTCTAGGTTCTGGCGACACCGTTTCAGGCTGTAGATGAGAAAATTTAGCCACTACAGTACGACTGCTAGCCTGGGGTCTGTGCCTCACAACAGATCGAAACGGGTGGGGGTGGGGATCCCTGGCAGCGGGACCTTTCGCTGTACGAGCTGCGGTGCGCTAACACGCTCGTCCTCCGATACCCCCTTGGGTCACAGCGCTTGCTGAAAGAAGTTTGGATCGTTTTACGCAGATTTTGCAGTGCGTACGAGACGCACAACAGCTACGTACTACGTCCTAGATGCCCAAACTGAGGCTCGCTACTTCTGCGCCGCTCTCGTGATCTGGGGAACAGTATGCTCGCTATGAAAATGTTGCAGTGAGAAGTACGGAAAAGTAATATTATAAAAGAAGAGTATTTTAAACTGGCTTGCATTGTCACTGAACATATGAAAATAAAACTGATTAGGAATGCCGATCAGATCGAGTGGAAATGTGATATATTGTGCTCAAGTTATGTGTGAAGTTGCGTCGGCACAGGAATTCAAACTTGTTGGCCCCACCCCCGATTGGATTGATTGGATTGGATTGGATTTGGGGCTAACCCCTTTGTATCGGGGGATCTCAGCAGCGCTGGATCTAGCCTGGCTAGTAGCTACACTAGCCAAAAACGTAGTTGTGTTCTTTTGCTCTCCTCCACCAACACTCCAGTCTCCTCTTTGTCACCTCCACTGGCTGCGAGCTGTCGGCGTCATACTGTTCGTCAACGCCCCGGAAACCCAGCGCCACCGCCATGTCTGGTTCGTACGTCACGTCCGGCTTTATACCCGTGCATTCCAGTATGACGTGTTCCGCCGTCTCGTCTGCTCCCTGCGCGCACATGACGCACTTCACTTCCATGTCCATGTACTTCGCGCGGAAAACGCGGGTCCGCTCCTAAACTCTTCCAATGTTGCTGGCAGTTTTTTTGTTTTTTGTTTTTTTTAATTATTATTATTATTGTAACTTCAAAGGTCCCAACAGGGGCATTACATAAGGAGTGGGGGGGGAGGGGGGGTGGGGGAAGTACATGAAAAATACAAAACATCAACATATAAACAGACAGGTGGCTTACACCAAAAGGGCTGGTGAGTAATATAAACAGTGAGAACAAGTGTGTGTGAAATAAAACTGGTACATAAATACACTAGCTAAAAGAGTAATCGAAGCATTGCGGAACAAGACAGGGTCGCCTATTGCCGGGCAGAACCAGGGTAATCACCGACTCACATCAAGCATTCCGGA